CAATCTGAGTGGTATTGTTGATACTTCGTAGTGTAAAGACCGTTGGAGCTGGGTCTAGGGAGCCCTGGGGGAGGGGGATCTGGGTCTAGGCCAGCTCAGGGGGAGGTCCGGGAGAGGTCAGGGAGAATCTCGAGAAGAAAAGGTAAATCCGCCCGCACCGAAGGTGCTGGGGCGTGATCTTCCGGATGGCACTCGTAAAAGGTTACAGGTTTACCTGGGGGGGGGGGCATTTTTCGGCCAAAACCTCCTGTTTTTGATAGGTCGTGACGCTCGCCTTCAAAAAACACTGTAAAAAACAGTACGGAAGACACCTGTTCGTGAACGCGCCCGTCCAAAATCGGCAAGCGAAAAGTGAAAAAAAACGTGTTTTTCAACTTTTTGACCTCAATTTTTTGGTTTGCAACATCTTTTTTTGCGGTTCCGCAGGTGGCCGGGGCCGGAGGCGGATTTTTGAGTTTTTGGACCCGTTTTCGGACTGATTTTCGTCGTTTTGTGATAGCAGAAACACTGGTTTTTACAGTGTTTTTCTGTTTTCTGCATGCTTGACGGCTAGCTTCAAAACTTCCAAAATACTCGTAAATTACGCTGTTTTATGTTACGGTGTGAATGAAAACATCGTAAATACCAGTGTTTTTTGACGTTGGTTAAAAAAACACTGTACATTACAGTGTTTTTGGCCACCTTACCTTCAAAAACCATGGTATTTGCAGTGGTTTCTGCTTCTCACCGCGCAAAAACATTGTAAATAACGGCAATTTCGCCGTTTTTTCATGTTTTTCGTTATTTTTTGAACTGCGTTGGTCCGCTATACATGGCTATCAAATTCTTCGCGTTTTTTTTTCCGACAATCAGTACTTTCGGATGTTTTTGGTCTCAATGGCCGACATCATTGGCAGTTACGAGCGGCTGCCCAGCGATGCGGTGCGGGCGGTTGCCGTCGCGAAGCGACGTGAATATATATATATTATATAATATAATATAATATAATATAATACAATATAATATAATACAATATAATATAATATTATATTATATTATATATATATTATGTGATTTGTTTTTTGTATGTTCCCTAGGATTAATCACTTTCTTTCTATGCATGCTGAGAGACTTTCCAAGACGCTCTATATAATCAATCAAATTGATTCTTTCTGACATGTTGCAAGCATGTTGCACCTTTGATCATTGATGTGGCTTGACGGTTGGACCTCAGCCGCCGTCTTTGCAATTGACATAATCACTTCTTTCACCGTTGTCATATCATGCCCAATTCCCATTATCAGGAAAGGGTGGGAAATCGACATGTCACCTTGAGCTGTGCCTGCATTGGGGAAAGATCGTGCGTCAGTTGCTGCTTTTCCAGGGAAGATTTCCAGGCTCCACTACGGTTTGGATTGCATTGGTAGCGTTAGCTGGTGGCAGCTTGACGCTCATGCAGGGCTACGCAGCTTTCAACGATGAGCTCTTCGATGTCATGCGCGAAGCCCAGGAAGCCTCGTCTGACGACAGCAATGGCGAGGACTCGCAGGCTTCCTACGGTGAGGATGTGTATGAGGATGATCATGGTCCCGGCCAACGTGGTGAAGAAGAATGTCTGACCCATGATGGTAGTGTGGATCCGGATGAGGCACCAGGTGTAGTTCCACCGAGACCTTTGCCAGGTGGAGTTGCATCCAATAGTGTTGTTGCTGCATCTACTTCCTCTTCAAGGAGAAGGAGGCGCGGCAGTCGTGGCAGTGGCGAGTCCAGTCAACAGGAGACCACCAAGCGTTGGAGATCGGGGCAGATTCCAGCAGCTCCGGTTTTTGATGGAGACATAGAAGCTGACCCTTTTTGTCTAAGACATTATCGGAGACGCCTAGGTCGCTGGATTCGTATCACCCGGGAATTTCTTCCTCCCGGCGAGCAGGCCCTTCGAGCCAGAGAGCAGTTGCGCGGTGATGCTGAACTGGAATTGGAGGAAACACCGGATGACCGGTATGACCATGCTGATGGAGTTCAGAGGTTGCTGTACGATTTAGCAGTTTCTTTTGGTGAGCGTGAGCTTTTCAGACAGGGTGGCATCATTAGGGAGTTTGAGGCCATAGGTCGACTTCAAGGTGAATCAGTGACAGCATTTGTGAGGAGGTTTAGACAACTAGAGCGTCGACTCCAAGACTCTCATGTCCCTGAGTATCCTGAAGAAGCTCGGGTCATCAAGCTGTTAGACGGTTTGAGATTGGATGAACGTTCAACCTCTTCTTTGCTTTTGGCTGCAGGGAACAAGTACAACATGCGTGCTGTGCAAGATGCTATTCGGATTCAGTATCCTGCTGGTATGACGGTGACGGGACTTCCCAATCGCCCCGAATCGGAAATCCAAGCAGTCATCTCAGTCAAAGCGTTGGTCTTCCTGGCATGCAGGTGCCAATGATGGTGAAGACTATGAGATTGATGAGAGCTATTACCCAGAGTATGCGGCCATCCCTGAAGAGTACGAGGCTCATGAGTATGACGATGCTCCTGCCGCTGAGGAGGACGTTGAGTATGAGTACGATGAGGAAGCTGCAACTGAAACTGGTGCTGATTCCGCGGCTGCTTCATCTCCTCAGTCCTCAGCAGATGTTCTTTTGGAAGTGGCCAATGCCCTGACGGTGACAAGTCAGCGCCTGGCGGAGATCACCAAGGCCAGGGGCTATTACAATGTCAAGGGCGGTAGTGGCAAGAGCAAGGGCAAGAGCAAGTCGATCAAGGGCAAAGGCAAGCCGAAGGGTAAGCCTAGTAGCAAGGGCAATGGCAAAGGCGGTGCAGCTCCGGCATCTTCTGCCGGCAAGGGACGTGGTGCACCCGGTGTCACTCCTTCCAAGACCAACTTGGACTTGCAGAAGCAGAGATTGGCAGATGCGACCTGCCTGGGTTGTGGAAGCCCAGGCCACTGGCTGAAAGACTGCCCAAAGCAGTCCAGGTTTTCAGCTCAGGTTGCCTCAGTTGGCGTGGTGCTGGATGCCGACGGCAATGCAGTTTCTAGCAGTTGGATGACTTCTTGCGACGAGTCTGACAAAAAGGAGCTCGTGCGCTATCAGCTGCCGGCCTTGACCGAGGATTTGAATGAGGTGATCAACATGGGTTTGGATGGTACTATGATTTCTCATGAACAAGATCTATGTCAAGGGGTTTCATCATTATCATCTATCTCTTCAACATCCTCTATCCCCTCAAATCCCCGTGTTTTATTGCAGTATGCCAACGACAATGCCACTCTGATGATAGCAGATACCGGATGTCAAAGACAGGTAGCTGGATGGGATTGGCATTTGAAACATCAACGTGAAGTTCAACCACTCCAACCTTTGAGATGCGATGAATTTTGCCATTTTTCATTTGGTCCCAATGAGGGTGTTCCAAGCCATGATCGTTTTGCATACCCTGCCGGCCTCGGAGGTTGTTTCGTGGCATTGGGCATCAGCGCCGTCAACTGCAAGGCGCCGGCCTTGTTCTCTCGGCCAGCTTTTGCGAAACTTGGTGCAATTCCAGACATTGTTTCATGCAAGATGCACTACACGGCATTGGGAACTGAGTCACAACTGTTTTTGTCATCATGTGGTCACTTAGCAATTAGAATCGATGAATGGCCTTCCACACCGTTTTCTTGGCCACCTGAGTTTGATTTTGACATGAAGCGTTTTCCTGATGCGTGGTCGCCATCTGCAGCAGTGTTGGATGAAGCGACTCTGAGACCATCACTTGCTCCTTCGCGACCACCGCCTCATGCCCGCCAGAGCCAGCGTAGCCCAGACGTTGGGACGATGGCGCAATCTGCTGAGCCATCTCATGGAGATCGTCTAAATGACAGGTCAAGCAGTTTTGCACTACGCTTCGGTGAGCATGAAACCCAGGATGAAAGACCGGATTCTGCGGCTTTACTTCGCGGGTCAGACAGCCGCGGTCATGTTGAGCAGCTCCACGGCTTTGTCAATGCAGAGCGAGACCCAGAAGTATCCCAGAGATCCCGAAGTTTGCGAACATCCCAACGGCCTGAGAGCCTACGGTGCCGCCAAGACCAAGATCAAGATTTGCGACCAGTGCGGTTCGCGCTGGGTTGTCCAAGCAGGAGGACTTCAACCAGCTCAGCCCAAAGCAAGTCCCACGGCGAAGACGCCTCTGTTCGACAAGGGCAAGAAAGGACCGGTGTCTTCAAGCGGTTCAGCCGCAAGCTGGGATGGATCCTCCCAACATTCTTGGCAACAAGTGCAAGCCTATCCTCCACCGGCACCATCGAGAGCAGCCCAGTCCAAGTCCAGATCCAGGCCAGTGCCAATTCCAACCACCAGGGCCCGGCCTTCGATGGACCAGATTTACAACACGCCAGTCAGCGAGATGACCGACGAGCAAGTGGCGCTCCTTCATCAACGCTGGGAAGAGCTGATGGAGCGGGACCGCCTGGCCCACGACTACGACTGGGAGAACCGCGAAGCAGATCCTATGGATTGGCTGCAGGAAGATCAGTATGTGCCGGGCTGGCCCAATCCGGCCGAGCAGCAGTTGGAGGAGGAGGAGGAGACCTGAGGTCTGCAGGGTTTTCTGCAGATCAGCCCATGCTCAAGGAGGACAAGGGCAGTTTTGTGATGCGAGCGGGACTTCAGAAGAGGCTTTTGGGCAATGTCAAACAGGTGCTGAACACTTGGAGCTTTGAGAACAAGGCTTATGATCGCGGTGTTCAACAGGTGCGAGCTATGCGGAAGTTTCAACATGATGTGGTGGAGATCTTTGGTGGCTTCGCCAATATAACCGCAGAAGCTCTTGAACAAGGACTGCGAGCCTTGCAACCGGTGGACAGCATCTATGGTGTTAGCCTCGTGAAAGCCTCTGACTACAAGAAGCTGTGTGATTTGCTGCGGGATCGAAGGCCCTTTTTGGTCGTTTGGGAGATCAGGTGTGATCCCTGGTCCAACATCAATCATTTGAACTTCTCTGCCGAGGAGCTTGAAGCCTTGCGAGCCGAGCACTATGAGTCTCTCAAGGGCATGTGTGACACCATCATCAAACTTCATGAGGAGTTGGGTATGCATTTTTTGCTGGAGAATCCATGGGGGACCCCTTTTTGGAATCACCCACAGATCGAGCGTTTGATGAATCTTCCACATGTCACGCTTCGCAAAGGTTCTATGTGCCGTTTTGGTTTGAGAGGCAAAGAGGGGCACTTGATTCGCAAACACACAGGTTGGCTCTCAGATCTTTCAGAACTCCTTGACGAGTTGGCCTTGGAATGTCCCGGACATGGACATCAACATGAGCAATGTCTTGGGGGCAACTCCAAGCGAGCCCAAGTGTACACTCGTCAGTTGGCGAGAGCTGTAGTCAAAGGTCTGAAGAGAGCGTTGGCGAGGTCAGGAGACGAGAGGTTTATTTTTCCAGATGCAGTGCGTTTTTCATGGACATGTGGCCTTTCTTGTACCTCGCCGCACCATTTGGCTGATGAAGCCTGGACAAGTCACTGGAGTCCAGCCTTCTACCAGGCTTTCTATTTGGATGTCGACCGCACTGAAGAGTCATGGCGTCCCATCCTTCAAGAAGTCGAGAATCGGCTCGAGGGCAAAGTCGCCAACTCTGCCATCGTAAAGCCTGGTACTGCCTTCTATGCTCAGATTCAGGACTTGGTGCCCTGGTCAATTCATCAAGTTCAGATTTGTCGGACCCCAAAGGTCCGACGCACTCCACATCAGCTCATGTTGCAGAAGCCTGTGACACACAGGGCAGCAGTGCTTCGCTTCGACAACGGTCGTTTGCAGGTTGAGACGGAGGAAGCTCAGCATTTCAGCACTACAAGGTTTGAGGCGCCAGTGCGGTTTGCAGTTTTCATCTATGGAGAGGCCCCTCAAACTAGTTTGAACCCTGAGGAAAATGCCCAGAATGAAGGCCCAGAGGCAGCCAGATCCTCAGATTCTGCTGCTCCCAAGACCTTGGAACCTGAAGAAGTTCTGCAACGATGGCAGCCTGGGCATCGTGACATCACCTTTGAAGTGCAAGGAGGCGCGGTGCCACGTTGGGTTCAGAATGCTCTCCGGCGCCTTCATGTCAACCTGGGACATCCCTCCAATGAATCCTTGACCCGGCACCTAGCTCAGGCAGGGGCTTCAGGGCAAGCCTTGTTGGGGGCGAAGCACCTTCAATGCAAAGTATGTTTGAGGACAAGACCACCTCGTCAACCAAGACCAGCCAAAGCCTTCCAGGCTCGACGTTTCAATGATCGAGTCTTTTTGGACATCATTTTTGTCAAGAACATTGAGGACACCACCTTTTCGTACTTGAACATTTTAGATGATGCCAGCACCTATCAATCTCTGGCTACTTTGCCAGATCGAAGCGAGCCCACAGTTGTGAAGGTGTTGGTTGATGGCTGGCTGCGCTACTTTGGAGCTCCTGACCATTTGGTTGTCGATGCGGAGGGAGCTTTGCGAGGTTGTCAGTTTGAGCAATTGGTGGCTCAGGGTGGAGTGCAGCTGCGGTTTGTTCCGCCAGATGCACATTACCAGCTCGGCAAGTGTGAACGCCATGACCAGACTGTGAAGTGGATGATGCAGCGTCTGGTGAATCAATTTGCAGCTCTGTCACAAGAGGAGATGGATTTGATTGCGGTGATGAGCACACAGGCCAAGAATGCGCTAGTGAGGAGATGTGGCGCATCACCCAATCAATGGGTGTTTGGGCGTCAGCCCAAGATCCCAGCTGCTCTTCTTTCAGAACCTGAAGCAGTGGAGCCCAAGCAGCTTTTGGACAACAGTGGTGCGCTTCAGCAAATTGAGGCAGTGCGTCACGAGGCCATCAAGTGCTTTTCTGACTATGAGTTTGACCAGTCATTGAGGAAAGCTATGTTGAGGAAAGGCCGACCTTTCCGCGGCCCTTTGGAGATTGGACAGAAGATTGCTTATTATCGCCATCGAACCCAGATGGATGGCGAGGGCTCTGTTGAGGGATACAGGCAGGGCATGATCATCGGCCTGGATCCCGGACCCACCGGATCAGTTTGGATCCGCGACAGCCGAGGACGAATCGTCCAAGCTTCACGTGAGCAAGTTCGCAGCGTTGAAGGTGAGGAGCTGTGGACACCGAGCATGGACGACATCTCTGCACTCAAGGATGCCGAGTTGGATCTTCAACAAAAGCATTTGCTGGCTTTTGATCATCGTGGACCTGCTCCACGAGCCTTGGAAGATCGTGAAGTCTCCAGGATCTTGGATGAACATGGACAGCCCGTGCATGATGAAGCATCTGAGGCTGTAGTACTTCCTGTACCTGTTCCAGTGCAAGAACTTGAACCTTCTGGTGCTGCAGAAGATGAGGTGAAAGAAAAGTCCAGCGAGCAGCCTGGGGAGGTGAGAAACCCAGCTACTCCTGGCTTGGTGTTTTTGCCACCAACACCTGTGCCTCCACCTCTATCTGGTTCACCTGCTCTTCCTGCAATACCTGAAGAGTCCATTAGCGATGAGCCCAATGCACCCACTGGATCAGAGACAACAACAAGTCAGTTGAAGCTGGAGGACCAACCACCTGCCATAGAGGATAAACCAGCTTCCGCTGCTTCCAGCGCCACGTCCAGGAAGCGTGAAGCGGCAAAGCCCCCCAGTGCAGTTCCCTCAAGGGCATCTTCACGAAGATTGTCGTTTGAGGAGAAGGGAACGAAAAGGGAGGCTGAACAGACCACTGAGCAGCTCCGCGATACTCAGGGCACAGAGGCTGTCGAGCCAACACCCGGAGCGTCAGAAGGCGTATCCCTTTTTCTCGTGTACTGCAAACAATGTGGAACACGAGGTGAATTCACAACAAAACAATGCCCCCGATGCGATGCATGTGATTTTGTTCAAGATCCACTTTTGGTAGAGAACTGGTTTGATGAGGTTGAAGAACACGAGGCCATGAACCACTTGCAGGCCCATGTGTATGACCCGTTCTACAAGAGGTGGACTGATGCGGCAGGTCATTTTGAGCTGCCTGAGAGTGACAAGTTGGAAGATGGGCATTTTGCTTATCTTTTGAATGCACGAGATGATCATGCTGACAGACATGCTTTGTGGAGCGCTGCTTTCAAACATGATGGCGAAGAAGATTGGACATGGTCTCACCTATTTGAGACTCTGGACATTGACCCTGAGACTCTTTCAGCAGATATGCAAGATGACCCTGCGTGCAAAAAGATCTTCTTCAAGCATCAGGGCAGAGGGCCCAGAAAGATCAGAGCCTTGCGTTCCCAGCCCGAAGCGCGATTTCTGAGGCGTCATGGTAGGCATTGTTCTTCGATTGTTGGTTGGGATGGCACACCTCCAGAATTGCAGCCTGCTTTTGAGAACAATAGTTTCCTAACGGCCTACAATGTTTTGTGCAATGACATCGCTTCTGAAAACTATGCGGTTTTTGGGCCTGATGCGGAGATCCTCCAGAAGGATGCAGAGTACATGAGCTGTCATGGCTGGGAGAAAGTCCAGCGTGATCAGGACCCGACAGGTCCGTCTGTGTTCAACACCCACACCGACCAGATCGTGGGACCAGATGATTCTAGCGATGAGGAAGTAGCTGAACAAGAGACCTCAGGCAGGGCAACACGTCAGGCTCTCAAACGAGAAGTACCCTGGCAGAGCATTTCTGAGACTGATTGGCCGAAGTTTGTCTCTGCTCTTCGTGATGAGTGGCAGGAATGGGAAACTTGGTCAAGTTGTCAGCCGGTCGAACTCCGTGAAGGTGAAGTCGACCCTAAGCTGATTCTGAAGTCAAGAGTTTGCTATAGGTGGAAGCCCAAGGATGGCGGCAAATAGTTCAAACCAAAGGCGAGGATTGTGATACAGGGGTATAGAGACCCACACCTGCCACTACTCACAAGGGATGCACCTGTGTTGTCTAGGACATGTTTCATGCTGATCATTCAATGGGCAGCTTGCCACAAGGTCTCTCTCCACAACGGTGATTGCAAATCAGCCTTTTTGCAGGGCCTTCCTGATGTTGAACGACCTGCGGCCATCTACATGCGACCACCACAAGATGGCATTTCACTGGAAGCCAATCCTATGTGGCGCCTGAAGCGATACGTCTATCGTCTGTCGGCTCCAGTGTATGGACAGGCAAATGCGCCTCGGAGATGGTTTTTATATGTGTTGCAGGTGCTCACTGGAAAACATTGGGAACAACATACTCTGGACCCATGCTGCTTTTTACAGAGGCAATCTGGCCAGGTAGTTGCTTTGTTGGGCTTCATGTGGACGATATTATCACATGTTGTTTGCCTGGCTACGAGCACTTGCTGGATGAGGTTAAGCAGTCATTTGTGTGGGGCTCTGACTGGGAGAAGGATGATTTCATCTTTGTTGGCCGGCACATCAAGAGACAGGATGATGGCGGCTACACCCTGGATCAAGCTCACTATGTGGCAGATATCCTCAAGACACGGATTGACAAGGATCCGGAAGAACGGCTGATGGATCACCCGGAGTTGGTAACAGAGTTCCGTTCAGGCATTGGTTCACTCCAATGGCTTGCTGGCACCACACGTGGAGATCTCTCTTCCTATGTCTCCATGTTGCAGAAGAAGCACAATGAGTTGAAGGTTGCCGACCTGATTGAGGTTAACAAGGTTCTTAAGTATACCAAGGCTACTGCCACCTCCCACATTCGGATCTATCCCATGGTGCCGGAAGAGTCCTTCTTTGTGGCGTATGGCGATTCTGGATGGGCGAACGCGCCAAATGGAAAGAGCCAAGGTGGGTATGTAGTCGTTTTCACCAACAAGAATGCCATGACTCAGGTGGAACGTGCTTCGACATCAGCGTGTGCTTCGAAGCACCCTCGCTGCTGAAGCTGCATCACTTGACCGTGCGCAAGACACAGCGAACTTCATGGCTTGCGCTTTCTCTGAAATGATCTATGGCGACTATCGAGCTGTTTCCGGCACTCCACGCTTTGATGTTGTGCCCATCACTGACGCCAGGTCCTTGTGGGACGCTGAGAAGAGAGTAGAGATAGATGTAGCTAGTTTACGTCAAACATGCCGCAATTTGCGTTGGGTCCCCACTGAAAAGCAACATTCAGATGCCTTGACTAAAATGAGTTCAAAGCTGAGGGACGAATTTCGTAGATGGATGGCGTCACCGACTGTGACGTTGGTAGAATCCAAAGCGGCAGAAGATGACGTGAATTTGAATGACAAGTGGAGAAGTGACCAGTCAAAAGAAAATAAGACCAGTGACATTTTGCAAGCATGTTGCACCTTTGATCATTGATGTGGCTTGACGGTTGGACCTCAGCCGCCGTCTTTGCAATTGACATAATCACTTCTTTCACCGTTGTCATATCATGCCCAATTCCCATTATCAGGAAAGGGTGGGAAATCGACATGTCACCTTGAGCTGTGCCTGCATTGGGGAAAGATCGTGCGTCAGTTGCTGCTTTTCCAGGGAAGATTTCCAGGCTCCACTACGGTTTGGATCGCACTTTCTTCAAAAAGAAAACGATACTTTTTTGGATACTCGGTGAGAAAGCTGTAAAGCAAACATAGTTTTCTTCTAAATGCGTTTTTTCAACACCTCAAAACACTGCATGTTTAGAAACGTGGTAAATTGGGGACCTCCTTTTCTGTTTAGTTAAGAGTAATTTTCCTTACTAAACCCACCCCCCAAAAAATGAGGCACAGTAAGAAAAAAATAAAAAAAAGAGAAACAATGAGAAAAAATGAGAAAATTAGAAAACATGAGAAAAATAAGTTCTCGGTCGGGCCAATTTTTTGGACATAAGGAAAAAAGAGAAGAAATGAGAAAACATTATAAAAGTTAGGAAAAATCAGTTCTCGGTCTGGCCGCCCGAGTTTTTTTATTTAAAAACCACTCTGAACTAAACCCCACCGATCTGGACCCCGTCTGCGTTTTGCTGATTTCACTCTTTGAGGAAGTCTCGCAGAATTGCTTCGTTTTGAAGCAGTGCGCATCCATATTTTGATGAGGTCTCGCAGAATTGCTTCGACAGATCGATAGGTAGATAGATGGATAGATGGATAGATGGATAGATAGATCGATAGATGGATAGATGTATAGATAGATCGATAGATGGATAGATGGATAAATAGATAGATGGATAGATGGATAGATGGATGGATGGATGGGTAGGTGGGTAGATGGGTAGATGTGTAGGTGGATAAATGGATAGATGGATAGATGGAGAGATGGAGGGATGGATAGATGGATCGATGGATGGATGGATAGATAGGTAGATAGATAGATAGACAGATAGGTAGGTAGACAGATAGATAGGCAGGTAGAGAGATAGTCAGATAGACAGCCAGACAGACAGACAGATAGATAGATAGATAGGTAGATAGACAGATAGATAGGCAGGTAGAGAGATAGCCAGATAGACAGACAGACAGACAGACAGACAGATAGACAGACAGACAGACAGACAGATAGGTAGATAGATAGAGAGAGAGATAGAGAGATAGATAGGCAGGTAGAGAAATAGTCAGACAGACAGACAGACAGATAGACAGACAGACAGACAGACAGATAGAGAGAGAGAGAGAGACTCAGTGCCTCAGCGACCTTTCGGATCCTTTCGGTCCATTGCTGGGTTCGCTCTGGCATCCACGCGTCAGAACAACAAACCCTCCTATAGGTCTCCGCTCTTCGAAACTTCCGCCACCGCTTTGTGCGTTAGTACTGGTATTTATTGAATAATACTATACAATGAGTGTGTGCGCGCGTTTTGACTGTGGTAGAAAGAGAAAGAAAGCGGCTGTGAAATGCGAAGTTTTCCTCTGAGACATTGATAATTATATTATTATTAAATAGCTGGATTCTGGCAGAGGTCATGAATTCCGGTTGGGGAGGTGCAATTAGAGGCCAACTCGTCAGAAGAGGCACGGGAAACGCAGGAACGCAGGCAAACACGAAGAAAACAACATCAATGCAGCTAAAGGGGAGGTAAACAAAGCACACTGCAGCGGCAGTAGCCACAGCATTCAAGAGCATCAATTGCTTTGACACCCATTAGAACAGGTCAAATTTAACGCAGGCACGAGACAGCTCAGGAGCAGAAAGGACTCATCGAGTAATCCAGCCACAGCAAGAAGATATGAAAGGGATGAGAAAAAATAGAAAAATGTGTCAGAAGAAATGGGAAGACTGGGAAGCAATGAGACAAGAAATCAGAAGCAATCAGAAGAAGAGGCTGTTTCCGCATGCAGATTATGCAGATGGAGGAGGAAAGGAATAGGACGCGGAGAGTGCAGGAAGCAGAGTGCAGATAGCAAACCCTGTGGGAATCTTCAGATGGTTTCTAGCACATTGCACGCATCCAAGAGTCATTTTGGTGAATCTCTCAGGACCGGCGCATATGTAAAGGTTCTTTTCTGGACAGATGCTGGCAATATTCTGGGGCTGCTGCCCCCAAGCGGCTTGGAACACAGTTGACTATCTTTGAAAAGAGTTTTCGAGCATTTTCCAATGAGCATATAGGGCTCTGTAGGGCCTTGTAGGGCCTTGTAG